GACCAAAGCTTACGGGCAAATACATATAAACCAAAAATTAAAAAGACAGCAACAGACAGCAAATGCCGCCTCTGCAAAGAAGCTGAAGAAACAGTGGACCACCAACTGAGCTGCTGCAAGAAGATCGCACAGAGTGACTACAAACAACAGCATGACAAAGCAGCAACAATGGTGCATTGGAATATCCGCAAGAAATGCCATTTGCCTGCAAGCAAGAATGGTGGGACCACAAAACAGACAAAGTAATAGAAAATGAAGAAGCTAAAGTGCTCTGGGATATTAGAATTCAAACAGACAAGCACCTGCCACATAATACCCCAGACTTAAAAACTGTTGATAAGAAAGACAAAGTCTGGATAATGGACATTGCAATACCTGGAGACAGCAGAATAGAAGAGAAAGCACTAGAGAAAATCACAAAATACAAAGACCTGCAAATAGAAATAGAACAACTGTGGCAAAAGAAAGTAAAGATTGTACCAATAGTAATAGGCCCCTTGGGTGCAGTTCCAAAACATCTGGAGCACCACTTGAAGACCACTGGCATTGACAAAATCACCATCAGTCAATTTCAAAAAGCAGCTTTAGTTGAAGAGCTTATATCCTGCAATGATAACTTTAATATTATTAAACAATACAGTGGAACCTCGGGTTACGAACGCTTCTGTTCACGAACTTTTCGGGTGACGACCAGCTCCGGCTGCAAAATTTTGCTTCGGTTCGCGAACTCCGCCTCGGGTTACGAACGCTTCTGTTCACGAACTTTTCGGGTGACGACCAGCTCCGGCTGCAAAATTTTGCTTCGGTTCGCGAACTCCGCCTCGGGTTACGAACGCTTCTGTTCACGAACTTTTCGGGTGACGACCAGCTCCGGCTGCAAAATTTTGCTTCGGTTCGCGAACTCCGCCTCGGGTTACGAACAGGATCCGCGGCCATTTTCCCTCCTGTGACCCGGTCCGCGGCCATTTTCCCACCCGTGACACGTGGTCCGCAACCATTTTCCGCCCCTGACACATGATCCGCGGCCATTTTTCTGCTCCTGACACATGGTCCGTGGCCATTTTCCGCCCCTGACATGTGGTCCTAGGGAGGGGGACTCTCCCTCCAAGCAATAGCCGCCTCCCTGTCCTCCACACCAGAACGGATTAACGGTAATTACATTGAACCTTATGGGAAAATTTGCTTCGGGTCACAACCAATTCGGGTCACGACCAGAGTCACGGAACTAATTAAGTTCGTAAACCGAGGTTCCACTGTATCTGCCTATCCCAGGTCCTTGGGAAGGATTCGATAAGTGGACAAAAATGCCAAATCCAATCTAAACATCTGGCTGACTGTGCAACCAACCATAATACCACCAAGTTTAGATACTGGTAATTCTTTAGATATTCTTCTTGCAAGAGTTGGGGTAGAACAAGGATGGAGCCCAATAAGATGGAAAGTTGATACGTGGGAGAATGTTCCCCTGGGGCGCCAAGAGTTTTGAATTTTTTTTTTAATCAATTGTTTTTTGAGATGCCCAGGGTTTTGATTCATGGCTGTATAAGTCAAATAAGTAAAGACTTCTTAAGCCCATAGGAACAGATTCTTTTGGCCCTTAGCCATGCAATTAACATCAATGGTATATTTTTTTCTCAGAAGTAGGGGATCTAGGGTTAGGGTGAAATAAAGCCTGACTGATCATATAAAACGTGGCTAAGGTCACCTTTGCTGAGGAATTTAGGAAGAACAAGAAAACCCTAGTTGTTACAGACAAATAATAGCAGAAAGGTTGCCAAAAATTTCTGCTTCTCTCTTTGTTTACTTATCATTCTTTCTCAGATTTCTCTACTTTTACCCAAGACAATATTTAGAAATAGCTTAAAGGAAAGTTTTATTGATGTGGCTATTTTTCATTTGGTCATTATTTATTTAATCATTCATTCAAATTTCAAGGCCACTGACTCCCTGACAACTCTGGGCTTCTTACAGATTACAAAGGAAAAATACATATAAAAAGAGGAACATAGTGACCGGAAGTTTGTTCTAAAAACAGAGCAAAGCTCTAACATTCGTATTAATATTTAAGGATTGTATGTGTGAATGTATTGGAACATAGCAAAAGAATCTCTACATTAATTGGAACTTTTCACCAATAATGCTAAAACAATGCTGTTAAATTGCACATTTTCCTATTTATGTCAGATTAATTTGCACTCTGTCTGATTCATGCATGCTTACTTAGCAGTTTCTTCATCTCTCTGCAGGTATTTGGAAATGCTCCTCCAAGTACAATGATAGAAAAGTTTTCAGATCTCCTTCAGTTCACAACACAAGTATCACGATTAATGGTAACTGAAATTCGTCGGAGGGCTTCTAATAAGTCCACAGGTAAATGCTTGAATTATTCATTTTCTGTAGGCAAGCTACAGCAGGTAGTAGCTTAGACAGTTCTGGATATGCCAAGCTGAGCATAATCAGACCTGGTTAGTAGTTGAATTGGAGACAACCAGGAAAGTCCAGGTACCTGGCAAACTTATTTTTTTATTGCTACCAAAAAAATGGTGTGGAGGTGTTCATACACTGTAATCCCTATGAGTTGAGCACAAGGGAGTTCAGCATAGAGATATGTGTGTGTTCAAGAGTATGTGCACACCTTTTGCCTTTCAACTGAATGATTCTTAAGGTACCTTATAATAGATTAAAATAACGGTTGTTAAGTGAGACATCATGTGACTGTGACTTGTGATTTTACTGCTGGCTTCTCCATTGACTCTTGCTTGTCAGAAGCCAGTTGTGAAGCACGCAAATGACAATCACGTGGTCACGGGATGCTGCAACTGTTGTAAACACCTGCTGATTGCAAAGTGCCCAAATCTCGATCACATGACTGCTGTGACACTACAACAGTCATAAGCATGAAGACTGGTTGTAAAGTTACTTTTTCAGCACCATCATAACTTCAAATGGTCACTAAACAGGGCAGCCATTAAGTGAGGACTACCTGTATACAATAAGCACAATGTACATGAATGTGAGCAATTATTTTGGTACGTTAAAATAAATAGAGATTGAGGGATTGTGTATGTTGATATTTCTTCTCTTTCTCCTTTGCATTTTAGAAGCCGCAAGTCGTGCCATAGTCCAGTTCCTAGAAATCAATCAGAGTGAAGAAGCCAGTAGAGGTTGGATGTTGCTTACTACAATTAACCTATTAGCTTCATCTGGACAGGTGAGTTCTTAATGAACACCAAGTGGTATCCTCCAATAAATCACTAAAGTGCCAAAAAATCACTAAAGAAGCATTCATGTCACTCATGAATGCTTCACCTTTATCTTGTAAAGTGACCAAAATCTCCTCACTGGGATGAAAATAAATAAGTGAAAATTTGAGGATTGGGGCCAGGGAGGATTCAGATAATTGTATCTTATACAAAGTATCTGCCAAAGCTATAATTTTTACAATTTAATTGTAAATTAAGCCATTATACAATAATTGCACAGTAAAATAATGGTAAATTGTATAGTACAACCAGTTTTAAAAAAATTTGCAATACAAGTAGTCCTTGACTTACAATGGCAATTGGGTCTGGAATTTCCATCGCTAAACAATGCAGTTGTAGAGCATGAGCGCATTGCTTCGCAACAGCACTCCCTGCTGTCCTGGTTGCCCTTGTTAACTGCATCCCACGGTCGTTAGGCGAGGCAACTTCCTGCCAGTTTTCCACAACCCAAGTCGGTGGGGAAGCTGGCAGGAAGTTGCAAGTCCCAGTGGAGGGGATGATGAAGGGAACTTCTGATGCAATATCTAAAAGGAGATCCTCAAAAGTAGAACAAATTCAATAACAGTTATTTAAGCATTTCTACTCAGTGACAGGAAGCCAAATCAGGCAGATCCCTCTGTGGATTTAGAACAATGTTTCTCAACTTGGCAACTTTAAGATGTGTGGACTTCAATTCCCAGAATTCCCCAGCCAGTTCTGGGAGTTGAAGTCCACATATCTTAAAGTTGCCAAGTTTGAGAAACACTGATTTAAGAGGAATGCAGCAAAGGCAGGATGCAGGTCAAGCAGGAGGTGATGATTTGGGCTAGTTCTGTTCTTGCCAGTGGACTTACCCTACCTTTGCTGAAGGTTCTCATCATGACCGCACCTTCTCTAAATTAATCCTTTTTTCCCTCTTTGAAAAAGGAGAGGGAAGGCTGGGAGGGAGGGGCTGGTCAGCCATTACAGCTTTCAAGGATTATAGTTGAATGCTTAGAGAACTCCTTTGAGAGCTTCTTGATACCTCACAATCATACAGGATGGGAAAAAAATGAGTAGTTGGGATAAATGAAGGTTGAGGTTCACCCAATCCACACACAGGTTGTGAACGTTTATCTTTCTAGTTAATTGGACTTTTTTTTGTTTTCTTTGGCAAACATTCAGAGTGCTTTCATTTAAAGGTGCAATAATGTATAGTTGAATCATTTCTAACAGGATAAATTAAGAACAAATCGCATTGGATTCATTTAAAAATATCTTTGCTGTTTCTCCCCAGAAAACAGTGGACTGCATGACGACTATGTCAGTGCCTTCCACGCTTGTGAAATGTCTCTATCTGTTTTTTGACCTTCCACATGTGCCTGAGGTGGCTGGCGGAGCCCAGAATGAATTGCCTCTAGCAGAGCGTAGAGCGCTGTTGCAGAAAGTATTTGTACAGGTAACTGCGTTGTAATGATAAGTAATAAATTTTAAATGAAATTCCTTTTTAAAAAGTTTGGGTTGGAGGTTGGGGGCTTTTAGAATATTTTCAGTGCTGTAGGCAGTAAATATAAAACATGAGAAACTAGGTTAGGTTTGGATAGTCATGGAGAAAATCTATCTGTGTGGTTGCTAAGAATTGACAGTGACTTGCCG